AGGGATGGAGGGAGATGTTTGTCCAAACAAGAGGCCAGTGATACGTATGTGAATGCCAAGGAATCCTGTCTGCGAATGGGTACGGAGAAAAAGGCCCTTACAGAGGATATAAATGGTGGGTAGACGAAAGGCTTACGAAAATGGCAGTGCGGTGTGAGAGATATGACAGTAGGTACTCATACTTACTCCTAGAGCACAGTGCAAGTGGGGCATTGAACCGGTATAGTTTCCATAGATGTTCAAAAGCGATATCCAAAAATCATTAGGGGTCAAGCGGCGCGCTTTAAAGGTAATGTAGCGACATATTGTTTGCTTGTTCGTGCTACTATTGGATTTTAGAACAGGGATTTTAGGGTATCCATACTGTTCATCTCAAAAAGTTTTCAATCCGAAGCACCAGGTGAGGGCAAACCTATTTTTTTTCTCTTCAGAGGATCAGATCCTGAAATTTAACGTGATGCCATGGACGAGGTTTAATACAAATCTATCCCCCATACGTTCGGCAAGTCTCTTTAAAGCAAGAAAGGTCCAGATCTGATACAACTAGAGATTATCACTCGCAGCTGAGGAATCCAAATATTGTGATAGGGTCCAACAATCCTTATCAAACGATATATAAGCAGAAGCGAATCCAGAGGCCCATATCATTGTTTTTTTGGGTGATTCGGTAGATTCTCCTCCATCACTAGGAGCCGGCGACATCCATCGCAATCATTGGCACCCACGCCCAAGATTCGATAAAACTGTAGTTTGATAGGGCAATAATCGTAATTTAACGTATCCGAGCCTTGGTTTCACATGGATCGATGGCCGATCCCACACTTCAAAGCCTTGTTACAGTATATACTGCCCATGAGAAGTCGATCTTGATCATGTTGTAATGCCTAAAATCTATGCCAAGACTAATCCAAATGATTGTGGCTCCCTCACACTGAAAAGATCAAGGTTAGAAAAATTAATGGAAAAAAAAATCCTCTTAGCGACGGAGTAAGTACTGTGGGGGAGAATGTGGCTAATAGGCTTTTGTCGATACCCTTACTTGCGGATTTTCAGTGGCAGTTAGCATTCTATAAGGTTGTGGAGGTGACTGTTCAGTGCGGTGTTTGTGGGGACGACCGTATTAGAAATGTATATAAGGGGCCTCTCATCCTCCTCCTCTCCTGTTTTGTGTATGTGATGTACGAGCGACAATGTGGGTGAGTGAGTGAGTGGATAGTAGCCAGAGGACCAAGCTGAATTCACGGCGACAATGACACTTTCGAGAACACAACTACGACGTTAATTGTCCCTTTTTTCCTTCTTTTTCTTACCCTGGTACGAATTTGTTCGATCGGAGATGTGCGATCACAGCTCCTGCAACCCCCCGGTTTAGTCAGTGTGAAGACATCGATTGCTTACTTTTTTCACGAGGGAGTGAAGCTTGCCTCTTGTGCATAGTGTGATACAACTCAAAAGTTTGGTCCGATAACCATTTAATTAGATCTCTCCCCCACTGGCCCCAGCTACCTAGGAACCTCCCAGGGCCAGGGACGAGACTGGACGGCCTCTAGCAGCCCACCCACAGCGGTGATACCTCAGCATGGCCGTCTTGGCTCGGACAGCGGCTTGCAGGTGACGGCAAGGGATGGTACGGAAAGATGCAGGACAACGGGGGCAGAGGACGTCACATGAGTGATGTTTCATGATTGCAGCCCTGCCGATATTCATCCCAAAAACTGAACAATAAGGGAATGAATGAATAAACTGGGAATCAGGGATCGATTCCCTGGCTTTATTTTCCGCCTTAAATAACGAAAAGCTTTAGAGCATCCTGCAATTTAAGGGGAGCATCTCTAAGGTAGTGGGCGTGTCCCGAACTCCAGAAGACCCCAGGGCATTTTTTCGAGAGGAGGGAGATATTGCGGGCCCAAGTCAAGTGGGTTCACAACGAGAATGTGCAATACAGGGGAGGGTGGACAAATAGTTATAAAGCACTGTGGAGGATGAAGGTTAATCGTTGGGGTTTACCGCAGAATGTCGGATGCCTGGCCCATAGTCTGGCGAATCTTGTCTATACGACAGACCGACACCACCGGAAACACTGGCTTCCTACGAAATCTCAGAACTTCTAGGAGTAGGGTGGCATTGGGTTAAATATCTCGGACTAGACAGAAACGAACAAATCATTTCCGAATCCCTCGAGGTCTGGAGGAGCCGATTCTAGTTGAAATTGTATATTGCACGCAAGAAGGTTACACGCGGAAAGAGTTCCATAACTTTTTTGAAACATTTAGTACGTAGTTAGGATGAGAACATTCCGTAACGCTACAAGCTGGGCTTGGTGTAACGATGTGATGTGTAAACATAATGACCTGTGGCTAGGCACGTTGAATGGTTTGTATAAGGAGGAGTTTCACGACACTCAGGGAGAGGAGACAAAGTCGCTCACCCTTATCCAACTAAACGACCTCGGAACCTCGGAACAATGACAACAGTACGTCTGTTCGATGTTGCATCATCTCTCTAACTGGTTAGAAGATCGTATAATGGCTTTCTAAATTTACAAGAAGTGAACATTAGCCGAGCATTGCTCAAGTTCATCCGCAGGCAAGTGTCCAAGCATAAAGGAGTGGAGAAAACGTCATTTAAGTGTGGGGTATTGGTTGTCATGTACTTTTTTGCATAGAGCTCCGCACAAAAATCTAGGCCACTTCCATGCAAGCCAATGTTATCATAAAATAACGAATACAGCTCTGATCCCTTGCAGTTCTGCCTCTAGAGCTTTAAACGCATAGCAATCGTCTAGCTGGGAGAAAGGATTAAAGTGTTTTTATGAAGGCAGCGCTGGGAATTGTCAATTTGGGGATGTCCATTTTTCGCTAAATTTGGTGTAATGCCGGTGTCGGAGGAAAGTTCTTGACCTATCATAGTATGATACCCTCACTAGAGCGTTGTTATGATGGACAACGGGCTTGGGCAACCCGATCAATGCCAAAAATAATTAGAAAAGGAAGTTGGAGTCGATTAACAGGAAGTTTGAGGGGACTGGTGGCAGGGTTGGTCATTCTGTATACTTCACCTTTAGGGGCATTGTCCCCAAGGGAGGTTTTGACTTCTTTATTCTCAAGCACCCTCAAAAGGATCTCGGTGGGAAGTTTACTTATCATATGATACACCGGGAAGGAATTGATGCCTGGAAGGTAGCCGGGGCAATCAGTTTCCTTTTGGTGGCGGGGTTTGGGGTTTCTACCACCCGGGTCGGTTGCCTTTTTCGGTGTTTGAGCCATGGGTGATGCAAAATTTATTTGTTGTTTTCATAGATGGAATTGGATTGGCCTGAGCATATATCTGGTTCGGTACTAGATAGGCCAGAAATGGAGTGCACAAGTGGGGGGGGGTAAATTTTTCCCTTGACGTCGGGAAATGTAATTCCTTATATCATACTAGTGTCAAGAGTCCCAATACGAGTAAAGGTGGATAGCAGTGGAATGAAAAAGCCAGATATATTTATTTTCTCTTCGCGTTATGCACTTAAGGTGCTGGGTAGCGGGGTACGAGTACACCGACCTTCCATTCCCCATCCCCCAAGCATCAACTCGAGTACTCGTGTCTCCAAGCCAAGAATGGGCACCTATTTTGGAATAGCGCACCCGAACACATAAAAAATAGTGTCCGAGCTGCTTGACAGACTGTTGTATCATGATCGATTATTATGGCAGTGGCTCTTACGAAAAATTGGGTGTGCTCCTTTCTGGCCGCAAAATTTGACCAACATTTATTACTTCCTCTATGGGGCGGTGGATGCATCCCTTTAGAAAGCGGTGAAAACACCATACCTCTCTAGAGTCGGCGGGGGCTATTCCAAAAGAGGTGCCATTCTTGGCTCGGAGACACGATTACAACTTCCTACAAGGCTCGCAAGGGCTAATACAGCCAATTACAACCCGCACAATACCTACAATATCGAAGTGGTGGTGCAACCTGGATAGTGTTCCAGATCTAAATCATTCTTGGTAACATGACTATCCGAGGCAAGGTTCAAGACTGTGTCCACCCCTCTCAGATGCAGATGGTGTTTATACCGGTATGATATGTGAAGTCAGTGTACCGGTGGAGTACGTATGCCACATGAGCACAATCCGGTCACCATCACCGGCACAGGATATGTCCGCCGCAAGTTTGATCCCCCGTATTAAGTGGGCAGAAACCTCTCCATCTCCTTCACATGCACTAACAACCTCCAGGAGTGTATTCTATTCAATGTCATGGGGTTGTGCCGGGAAATCGGATTCGTATTTAAAGCCCGCTCTCCCGCCTCCTCAAGGCTCAATTGCTCCTCCTCCCCCATTCGCAATACCCTCAGCGAGTCCTTCATCTCAGAGCATGTTCAGCTCTTCTGCGGTTCTAGGAGCGGCCTTCGGGCTCCTCATGGGTGCCAATGCTCACCCAATCTCTACTGACGACTTGCGCGGAAAGCTTAGAGGTGTGCAGGCTCACCGTGGGGGGCTTGGAATGAGACCCGAGAGTAGATTTGTCAATTTGTTTCAATTTTCGATTCAAATGCTAACGACGGCTAGGCACTCTCTTTGCCTTCGGCCACGCACTTGAGCTTGGGGTGGACGTGCTTGAGATGGATACTGTGGGTTCCTGAAGAATCGAGTTTTCTTTCCCATGTAAAAACAGTATACGCTAACTATCCTTCAGGTTTTCACAAAGGACGGGATTGTAAGTGCTAGGAACGCTACGTTTTTGTCGAATTTATTAGATACGACAGCTAATTCACAGCGCACACGCGATAGCCGGTTATCTGGCACGACCATCGCATTCTGAGCAACAAGTGCAAGGACACAGTTCCCCATGCAAACTACGTCGGAAAGGTGAGAAAAGGCGATGCCATGACGCTCTCTACAGGGCCCTTGCCAACAATTGTGGTTTACGTCAATTACTATAGTACATCGCCAACCTGACCCTCGCCCAGGTTCAGGTAAGATAAAACTCACAGAGATTAAACTCAGGTTCTAATGCACTACAGACATTGGACTGTGGAAGTCAGCAACTTCCGAATCATGATCAAGCCGAGTGTATCCTACCCAAATTCCCCAATTTGGAGATTTTTTGCAGACAGACTAACAGATAGCAGTACACCCCCGTGCCAAAATCTCTACCCTCGAGGAGGTTCTCGACCTGATCGACTGCTACGGTGACAATAAAGTGGAGATCAATCTTGAAGTGAGACACCCTCCTTCCCCAGAGCACTGATTTGATTCTAATTCGCTCGCAGACAAAGATTGACCCCGAGCACGCCAATGAAACCCTCCCCATCGAGGTCTATATCAACAACCTTGTACCAATCCTCCAGAGACGTGGATATGCCGACAGAACCTACATCCAATCGTTCGATTGGCGCACACTCATTGGGATCAAGAAGAAGTTCCCAGAGACCAGAATCGTTGCCCTCCTAGATGATACCACCGTGATTGCTTCCGGAAACCTAGGATTCCCCTGGCTAGGCGGAATTGACGTAAGGAACAAACTACCCATACATAAGTCCTATTTTCTAACTATTTAATAGCTCCAGAAAGACTTTGCCGGCGATTGGGTCAAGGCAGCACATTCCATCAATGCCACTGCCCTTTCTCCCGTACATGGAACCCCTTCGTCTGCATCTGTCAACACACCTGGATATACCCCCTTCACAACCGCTGCAGTTGTCAGCCGGGCTCATGAGCTTGGTATGGCGGTTATTCCATGGACGGTTGATGACGAGGTTACAATCGAGAAGCTGTTCAGGCGAGCAATCCATGCCCTTTGAGAAATGGAGTGATATCTTTGCTAACGCATTATATAGTGACGGGGTCGAGTAAGGTTTCTTTATCCTGAAGCATTGGGCAATAAAAGGCACTAACATATTCTATCATAGTGAAATTATTTCCAACTACCCCGAGAGGGTTATGTGGATCGGACGTCAGCGTGGTGCCCTCCTCGGCCACAAGCGAAGCCCACCGAAGCCCCACTGTTTTGCGCGTGCGCTCATCGCTTAGCTAGGATTCGGCCGGCGAGCAAGGAAAAACGGAAGGCCTCACACCAAGGCTAAGACCATGCATGCACTATTGTCTACTGGATTTTCGCGAGGCTGTCTGCGGGTGGAGGCCCGCGCTGATTTTCTTGTACATAAAATTACATTTTTACCCCCTGTACACTTATGAGCCTTACTTTGTACGAGGTCTCGAATCAGGACTAAGTGTGGTGAGTCGAGAAACCCAAATTAATCAAAGCACGCAAGTATGATATCCAGAGGGCCAAACAAACTTAAAGCACTTCAACCCCCCCAGTCCAGAACCACAAGCAGAATAAATATATCAAGGACCCACCCAACTACACCAACACCGACAAATAACCCCCAGACGATCCGGAACCACACCTTCCCACCATATCACACACTATCACTCGAATCCCAACCAAACCACAACACCCGATAGCACAAAATGCCCCGGCGGGACATCCGGCAAGGGTAAACACCCCCCCCTCCCTACCTATGACAACTCACCCCCCGACACTCCTTCCTCCCTTCCCCCCCACCTCCACCTCTCCTTCATCCTCCTTCCGCGCACCACCATCCGGGGCACCCCTCCGACTCCCACCAACCTCCCGCTGCAATCGCGCATTCGAGCGCGCAGCAGAAATTGACGTTCGTGTGTAGGCTAACAGTAGGAACGCCATCGTGAACGCCGCTAGGGGCATTGTTAGGGTCTATATTGGGGAGGACGGGAGGGGGAAGCGGTGGTTAGTTTACGTCATGTGGGGTAAGGGGGGGGAGGGAGGGAATGGACTTTGGCGTTTATCGGTGGCATGGCTATTGGTTGTGCGTTGTGCGATTCCGTCGTTGCGGGGTGGGTGGTGGTGGTGGTAATACGGAGTTGGTCGAGTGAGGTATTGTGGGGTGCTGCTGGAAAGGGTGCCGTTGGCAAAGTATCATATCATACCGGTAGTGGGAACCGGCACGGGGCGGCCGGATCACCCACGTTACATCGCGTTATGTCGTGCAAGCGATGACTAATGCTTCTGGATGTCACGGCTGCATCTTTTTTTATCGGATATCGAACCGGTAACTGGCATAACCTACGATACTGTATAACTTGGATACCTGAATTCACTATTTGTCACTCGTGATTCCGTCGGATTCGATCCTCGCCCCCGTAGCCCGGGACCAGATGGCCGTGGGCTGATTAGAGGGCTCTGAAGCGTTTCTGTGGCAGGACGATTAGCCGATAGGTAAGGTATGGGGTTTCTAGCCGAATGGGGCCTGCGGTACGATGAATTAGCGGACGGATGGTGAGTGAGTGCGGGTGGGCTTCATCCGCTCTTGTGCTTTCTCGTCGAACTTATTCCGGCATCGTACTATCATATTAATATATTATATCATAGTACGGGGTTATATCTATGATGCGCGCCCGGGAACATGACCTTGCAGATATGATATTTGATCCTCGAAAAAGAACCGTAGATTCATTACACATATTCCCACCCTACCCATTCAATAGCGAAAATAAAATAAAATAAAAAATAAGACAAAGGAAAATTTCCATCACACTCTACAGCATCCACAGCGCCCACCCTATTACTACCGAACCCACCCAACTCATAGATGTTTTTGTTCTTTTCTAGTGGTAAAGGCCGAAACAAACGGATAAGTTAGTAACGCAGAGTAATGAAATACAAGTGAGGACAGAAGATGAATTCAACAAAAGAAAGAACGCCACCCAGAAGAGACAAAACGAGCCAAAAGTAAAAAGTATATTCTACCACCCCCCTGGTAACGAATTTTTTTCGCGTATCGATCGCCCCCTCCACTGATACACCGCAGCGGCGCACCATGCGCTGCGTTAAAACCCGGAAAAAGAAATGAGCACCACAAGAGATAAGAGTAGGTAATAGGGAAAAGCAATCGTCAGGCGTTTAACATAACGTAGAAGCTGGGATTTAAAGTAGGTGGATAACCCGCATTTATATACAGGTTCCGGTATCTCACGGCAAGGGGATAACTTAAAGAATAATGCTCAGAGATAGACGCGTGTGGGAGTCAATCCAGAGAGGGTTTGAAGAGGGGAGGAAAAAAAAAGCCACCTAAGTCTAGTACTGTTTGACTCCCAACTCTCTCAGTTTCTCGCAATTCGGTAGTGGTCGCTCGTTGGCCTTCTTGAGCCTTTCCTGGTCGTCAAAGTACCGGGACAACGAGCTGCGTGCGGCCTTTATCTCCTTGTTTTTGTCCGCTTCCTCCTTTTCACAATTGGAACTAAGTGTGGAGATTATGTGTATTTCGACCGCCTTATCTAGCCTTATCATGCTGTTCTTTTTCATTTGCTTTTTTAGCTCGTTGGGGGTGATCCAGAAGGGGATTTTGTAGTTGGGGGTCTCGCGCCTCGTTGTGTAAGGTGGCACCCTATCGAGCTTGAATAGAGGTTCTCCGAATTCCTTAAAATTGTCTCCAGGGAGGAGTGAGCTGAGTATAGGGAGAATGAAGAATATGATCAGCGGTAAGAGCTGGATCAATATTCTCACCAAACTTTGTTCTGGCTGCACTTGTTCTCTGCCTGCTGCTTGCGCCGGTCTCCTTCGCTGCCCACCGAATTGACGAATCCTTATGCCTGGACCGCCAAATGTCTGAAAGCCTCCTATACCACCGCCAAACAAGTCACCCCCGGGACCCATCCCGCCACCTCCGAAAAACATGTTGAATAGGTCTTCGGGTGAAATCTCCCCCTCGAACACGCCCCCCCCCCGGCCAGGGGTTCCAAACGGACCGCCGGCGGGAAATCCCCGCATAGGAGTGTCAGCGAATCCCCCGCCTCCACCTCCACGAGCATCTGGATCTCCTCCGTGTCGGTCAAAAAGTGCTCTTTTGTCGGGATCAGACAAAACCTGAAACGCGCGAGAAACAACTGGAAAGTGAAAGCGGTAAAAAAATGTTAGTATTTTGTATTTATTTAACGTTAACACTCCCACCAGGGTAGGTGGTAAATTTGCAAGCAGGTTTCTCACGTTTGAAGGCTTCGTCTGCTCCCGGGGCTCCATTTTTATCTGGGTGCATTACCAAAGCTAATTTGCGGTATGCTTTCTTTATCTCTCCCTCGGTCGCCTCTACCTTGATGTCCAAGATGTCGTAGTAAGCTGTTGCCTTGCATTTTCGAACCCGATCGACTGCTGCTTTTTGTGCTGGTGTATATTCACGATCTTGGCGGCCTTGATTGTGTTGACGGGATTTGGAGGGGTCGGGGTTTGTATTAGCTCCTGACGGGGACGCAGAAGGCATTACGGATGATGTAGAGGATATTTAAACTGCGAGATCGACAGTAAGGGAGCTCTCCGACGGCTATTGGCGTAATGTAAATAAATAGCCGGACGTTATAAGTTTTTTGTTGTCGTCGTAGATTAGGGGGTGTTCGATGACAGCTCGGACTGCTATATATTTTTTTTTTGGATGGGGTGAAGGGAGAGGATGTTTTGCAGAGGTTCCAAGCGTGTGGTTTGGGCGTGGAGCAGTGGGCGTGTGGTTATCTGGTCTCTCCTGGAGAAAAGTTTCGGGCCTCCATGTTGTGTTGGTGTCTTGGCACATCCTCTCAACATAAATTTTCGCTCCATTAGATCACGAGTTGAATCGTTCAACCTCGAAGAATTAGCAAAGATGTCCACCAAACTTGAAGACAACAAAAAAAAACAGGATTGGCTTGTGATTGAGGATAGTGAGGAGGAGGGAACTGGGGATGACTCTGAACAGGAGGAAGAGGAGAGCAGACTGAAGGAACTTGAACGACGCGGCTCAAAACGGTACAAGGTGGACCATGCTTCCCCAGCCAGCGAAGATGATGACGACGGCGAAATCGATGGGGGCGATAGCGACGCAAGTGGAGAGGAGGATGGAAAAGAGATTGACGGAAAACAGGAGGGCACTCGAGAAAAAGGCAAAAAGGAAGGCAAAAACATTGACAAACACGACGATCTACTGATTACAAGCTCATTGAGGTTAAAGCCGCTATCAAAGGAAGAGCTAGCAGCCTCCAAAGAAGCGACTTCAAAGACCGGAGTCGTCTATCTTTCAAGAATACCTGTACGTTCTGCTTCGCTATATTCAATTCGGCACAATTTTACTAATACCCCTAACCGGATCAGCCTTTCATGAAACCTATGAAAGTGAAATTATTACTTTCTCGTTTCGGCGAGATCGGCCGCATTTTCCTATCACCGGAAGACCCGAAATCCTACGCTCGGCGGGTCCGCTTCGGCGGAAATAAGAAACGGAATTTTGAAGAAGGTTGGGTTGAGTTCAAGAGCAAGAAGGTCGCCAAGCTGGTCGCTGAAACGTTAAATACAACTATTGTCGGTGAGAAGCGCTCCGCTCTTTTGCCATTTGTGTGTTGCTCTTCACGGGAACTGTACACTAATCTATCGGTGGCGCAGGTGGGAAGAAGGGGAGCTATTACCATGACGATGTTTGGAACATCAAGTATCTTCCAAAGTTCAAGTGGCATCATTTACAGGCTCAAATTGGTATTCTTCTTCTCCGGGTCTCTCTTGAAGGTTGTCCTGAACCTCTGGCTGACCTATAGCTTTACCGAAGCCTATGAGAATGCCTCTCGACAAGCCAAACTACGCGCAGAGATTGCACAGGCTACTCGTGAAAACAAGACATATATTCGTAACGCTGAGAGAGCTAAAATGGTTGAAAAGATGGAATCTTCTAAGAAGCGCAAACTCAAAGAGCTTTCTGGAGCTAGTGGTGACAACGATTCTGAACAGCTTGAGCCATTGCAAATTAGGCGACAGTTCAGGCAGCACAGCGCCAAGGGAAGGAGGGCAGAAGAAGGCGAAGGCAGAGAGAGTAGTGAAAAGGTCAAGAGGCTTCTCAGTAAGGTATTCTGAGCCAACCTCTTTGTTTGAGCCGGTGCACGGCTTCATTGGACTAATTTAAAGCAAATTATTCCTATTCTGATGGGACTCTTGATGTGTGTTCTTCACATGCTCGTGGCCCCTCTGGCGACTCCAGTAGGTATACAAACGGGAACAAGCCCGACTCCTTTATTCATAAACTGTTGATAACTGTTTTGAGAGCCATCCGCTAGATGCGCAGCCATCGAAGCCACAGGCTCTAGAGTACCTGACTCTGTAAATGTAACAGCCGGCCGGAAGCCCTGCAACTTTGCTTCGACACTATGCCCATCTCGAGTATTCGAGTGCTATGATGCTCAATTTAGAAGCTGTATAGGGGAAATGTGTAATCTCCTACTTGGATTTTTTTCAATTAGTAGAAGATAGTCTACTATTACAGGGTAGACTGCCAACTGGAATAATTGAACAAGGGTTCTAGAATTCCCCTCTTTGGATAAAGGGGGGATCACGGAAAATAAAAAAAGAACAGACTTTTAGCCCTCCGCTGAGACAAGTAAAAAGAAAATGCTCGAGCATAACAGACCTTACTAGGAGGGGCAACTCCAATGTCCTAGCGCGCGTGGATCAATTATTACAGTTCGTACCAGAATTTCGAAGTTTAGAAACACGATATCATAGGTTCGATATCATACATATACTTACACGCAAGCCACCCTGTGGCAATGGTGATTACACACTTCCTCCTTGGTAGTACTCGTGGAGCACTAGTAGCGCATACCATAGCTCCATATTGTGAAGCCCATCTCCAACTCCAAATCGCTCGCTTGCCATCTATATCCTTCAAATTTCGGACCCCACTGCTCCATCTGAACCAATATGCCTCTTTTCGTTAAGGTTAAGGGACATGGGGTCTATGCTCAGCCAGTACCTCCCTCTCCGGTCTGTGGTCCAGTACGCCTGAAGTACTCGTGTGCGGGGGGACGGATTGGCGGCCCGTACTGCCCGGCCAACCCCATACTATACTCGGGTACCGTTGTACAGTACATATTCCTAGGATGAACCTCACTATAACTCCCCGTTCACAAAGATACTGGTATTCCCTGGGTATCATAAAATCTCTTGAAGTCCACTATCAGATTTTAGCGGAAAGTAGCCCACGACAGTCCTAGTTTGGCAGGCTAAGAGAATTGAATACCGGTTGATGTGATCCGACACACCTATTGGGCTGATCTTGTACTGTGTTAGGAAATGCTAATACTTCTCAGGAGCCTTTGTCCCCAAATCCGTAGATTAAAGGGCCGGTCGTAATTGCAGACCCCCGGGGCTCCCGGGGGAGACCATCGGTATTAAAACGCAGAGAAGCCTATACGACATAGCCAAGGTACCTTAGAACCTGCCTTACTCGTAGACCGCACGTCGAGTTAAGAACGCTAGTCTAGTTTAGTAATATTATAGTGGTGAACTATACCTAGTTAGGAAGTCTCTTGGCTAGTGGTACTTGTAATGATCTACTTTAGAAAAAAACTCTTCCCCCTACGAGCCTTACTGTCCTCCTTCCAGTACAAACTTTGAATGCCTCTACAGTCCCAACCGGAAGACAAAATGGAAAGTCGCTCTACAAATCTGTTCCAATAACTAGTTAGGAAAACTTTACAAAAGGAACTTTAAAGATTCTATTTGTAGGGAAAATTGAAATATTGGCCAATGTTGGGTGTCATGAAGGGAGGTTCTAGGGCACTGGCACGATACCTGACTCGAAGAGATCTGGCTTTACTGGATTCAGAGAAGTGGAAGCCTGGAATAGAGTAGGACAAACCCGCCACTATCGGTAGCCTTGGAACCCAGTCTCTTTTAAACCCACGAGCAAGAGCCTTGGGGCACAATAGGGCCCGACAAAATTCATTGTACTTGCATCACAGCTAACTACGGGGGGGCGCCGAACTGCATTACGTCCAAGAGGGGAGGAAACTCCACACGCCCGGCTATCCCGTAGCACATACCACCCGCAATCACCGTAGCCCGAACCTCAGGGTTGGCCAGAATACGGCGATTCCAGCAAAACAAAAAAATTGCTGTCACTGTCTGAATGCCATCCCGCAACCTATCACCATAGTAGAAAACCTAATACAGTCTAATCGCCACACGATGCTGGATGAATGCCACTCCCCAGCCCAAGCAAAGATGTTGTGTCAAAGCCGCCGGACAATAGGGAGGCTTAGCTAAGACGGTTGTGACTTGGACTGTTCTTCTCACCAGAGCAAGGACACTAACCTTTCCGGATGTGCACCAGTACTCTGTGATTGGATTCGCACAGTCTCAAGATCAGTTCTTAAACAAAGGGGTTGCACGACTCGTAATAGGCCTTTGTCTGCACTTGTTTACCGTGCAGCTCGCGCTAATGTTAACAGCAAAGTTTGAGCGTTCTGGTCCTGTTCTCGGGCGTCAATGAAGATCGGGAAGACCGGTGCCCCTGCCATCCAAAGTTGGTGAGCAAAAAACCAAAACTCGAGTATGGGAGCTCCTAAGTTAATCGGGATCGACAGTCAAAGAACCCCTAGAATGTCGAGGAAGAAAAGAGTATACGGGTGGCAGAATCCAGTGAAACCGATGACAAAACAGTATCCTCCCCTCTTTACTTGCACTCCACAAGTTTACCCCTTCGCTTCCTATTGTTACCCGACTCGGCATCATCATGATAATATCATGTATCACTCGGTACAGCGTACCTTGCTCAAGATGTGTGGTTACGTTGCAGAGTTTTCCAGACACCTTATCCCCCAATCCCCCCGATCCTTGTTTTGCCACTCTTAGTTTTTGCAAACCCGGGCACATGCACTTCCGGCGCCGGTTTGCTCTACTAGTTCCCATAATGGTAGCGGCCATCCCCGGACTCTTTGGTTAGGAAAATACATTTGGGAATAGAAGTTGCGACCTAGCGCTGAAACACTGGATTTCAAGGAACTACACTAATCGGATTCTATTATGGGGCTGTGAAGAGGGTATAGCATTAGCAGAACTTTTATAGAAGAACAAGGGCATTGGCAGATTCCAGTTAGAAACATTGCAAAGGAGTTAAATATCTATACTAGTACTAATTGGTCTACGCTAGAGAAGTTATTTTATGATTACCACAACCTGTTTTGAAGAAGGGCCACTTGAAACCCTCCTTAATCCATGATCGCTAGCACACCTGGTGTTTATACACATGGTATTGATAGTAACAAGAGAAAATATAATATTCACTAATAAGATGTGGGTAGAGTTTAACCCCACTCAGCATCATATCAATGTACTCAGAGAATAAGGAGCTGGTCCAAACAAATAGATACTATTGATAGATATTATCCAAGTTTTCATGAAAAGCTTAATAGATGCTAGTGTGTCGTCTACAGTGGTAATAACTTTGATGGATAGTATCTTGTATTCACTTGAAGAACTCAATTTAGGCTTCTTCGTTTCACATACATATCATACTGGTACTTGTAGGGTACAGGTAGCTAGTGTTACAGTTTGGCTCTAAGGTGTTGAGCCGTGGCTATCTAAGTACTTAGACGTATGATAATATTATGATATTTTATTGACCAAAACACCCAAAGGTGGGCAATACCCCTACCGTAGGAACTCAAATAAATGGACCATGTGCTACGCAACCCAAAATTTCCTCTTCTGGAAGGGGGATGAAAAACACCAAAAAACCTGCCGTCTGAGACGAGTAAAAAACAAGAAATATACCAGACCTGGCAGCTCCCACGTCCTAGCACATGGTCCGGTTATTCGAGTTCTTACTTGCACCGTACGGTGTGAACTGACTGAGCAAACCAGCACAGTGAGTAAACTAACTTGCTCCAAAACGAGCAAGGTTCGGATTAGTGACCGCCTTGGCAAAACTCCCCTAAGCCAATTTGTATGCACTCGAGCACTACTGTAGTATACAGTATTGCTCGACCGACTTCTGGCGTGCCCCAATGCGGCTAGCCAAATTTTGTACCCAAAAACTACCTTATCAAGTACCGCTTTTGTTTATTTAAATTGACATGACTATCTCATTAACCGGAAATCCTGTTCAAGCCTTCCTAACCACACCCGGGGATTACTCTTCCATAGTTGCTGCACGGACCGTCTGAGAAAATAGAGTACTGCCGGCACATACAAATTGTGCCGAGGGCCCCTCGGCTTTTGCTCACAGATATTCAAGAGAGTGGGTCCGGAGACCACATTGGATCAAGTGGAAGTGGGGGAGTATTACTCTTAGCAGGTAAGAAGTATTCGGTAATAGGGGTGGTGATTTTGTATGAGGTCTCAGATAATCACGGATTCTTCGTCATATATTTTGCGCAAGTCCCTAATATCGGGACTTCCTGCCCGTTACGAGTATTGTATTCTAATAAATAAGGGATCTCTGTTTATTAGAATTGGGGGGGTGTTTATGGGTTTGTATACTTGCCATCATCCCTCAGAGGGTTTACAGATACTTAGGGATCGACATGTATCTACTCTCACTTTTCCTTGCGTTGGCCCTGAGGCCACTGCTCGTGTTTGCTACTTGGGGATATACAGATGACGGGTCAAATTATGTGATTGGTTTGTCCTTAAAGAAATTCTGCCTCTCCCCTATATTACCCGGTTAATGGTTCAATAGATGTCGGGTCGAAGCTTGTCTTCAAGGTTTCCAAAACTAATGGGGATATCAACTCGATCGTATACAGAGGGACAGAGTACCAAGGTTACTCCGGCAAGAACTCGTTAGTGTAAACCTCCAAACCATCATGATAGTTCTAATTGAGTTTCTAGCCACATCCAGTCAGGCCTTGGGAGAAGTACTGTTACCATAGCATCTCATACAAGCCCGGCGAACCTTCTCATGGTCACTATCACATATGGCACCCTGGTTCACTACATAGTAGCAAGATCTGGCCAGAACGATATCTACCTTCTCACCAACAAAGGTGATGCGTCAGTAGCAGCCTTAAGATTCATTCTTCGTCTGAAGCCAAATATCTTCCCCCACGATCTTTCCACACCGGACTTTTACGATAACGTCGGCGCTACCGTTGAAGCCTCAGATGTCGTTCGGAATTCAAATGGGTATACCAAGAGCAAACACTACCAAGGCAGCAACTATGGAAGGTGGGTATCTTTCCCTTCCACCCCCCCCCTTCTCCGGAACCCACTAACATGACTCTGGCTAGAGTAATGGACTTTGACTACGTCGGAAAAACCACTGGCAAAGTCGGCGTCTGGCTCATCCGCTCCAACCACGAGAAAGCCTCTGGCGGACCGTTCTTCCGCTGTCGTCCGTCCGGAGTTGCAGCAACGTCGCCGAAGACCTCTACGAGATTCTCTTCTACAGCATGTGCCACACCGATCCCGAGAGATGGGGCTTGCACGGCCCCTATGTTCTCTCTTTCACCGATGGCGACACACCAAAAAAGGAGCTATTTGCCCGGAATCCGAACTGGTCCTGGTTCGACACACTCGGAATTAAGGGATGGGTCGCGGACTCCGCACGCGGTTATGTTGCCGGCATTGGCATCGCGAATATGAAGAGTGGGCACACGTATACTGTTGCGCTGTCCAACGCGGATTATCAGTACTGGGGGGTCGCAGCAAGTGGCCGTGGTGCCTACACTATTAAGAGGGTCGTTCCGGGGACCTATAAGCTCACGGTGTACAAGGGGGAATATGGTGTTTATACTACCAGCGTTTCGGTTAATGCCGGGTCTGCTACTGCATTGCACACAATTACGCCAGATTCTGATCCTTCTGACGTTGCGGCGATTTGGAGAATCGGTACTTCTATGTTTACCTAATGCTCAGTAGTATTGAGGAACTAACAACGATATAATAGGTGACTGGGATGGAACGCCAGGCGGTTTCCTTAACTTCGAATCGGCACCCTACAAGGTAGCTCGCCCCCCCTCCATACCTGCGATTCACAGTACATTCAATTAACAATCCACAGCCTACATACATGCACCCCAGTGATCCTCGGCTCTCCTCCTGGGGCCCTGAAGATTTCACTGTCGGCAAAACTGCAATCAGCAGCTTCCCAGGTTACATGTGGAAAGACGTGAATAACGACCACCTTGTCTACTTCAAGCTCACAGCAGGACAAATAGCCTCCGCAAAGACTATACGTATCGGAATCACAGAAGCGTACGCCAACGGCCGACCTACCATCGCTGTTAACGGTTGGACCTCTCCACTCCCGTCTGCATCTACACAGGGCAGTACCAGGAGTTTGACTGTGGGGACGTATAGGGGAAATAATCATATTTATAGCGTAGGCGTTCTTGGCCACCTACCTTATAGCAGAAGGAAAGAAGGGCTAACATGAATTTTAGTTTACCGTCCCAGCATCCGCATTCCTGACGGATGTTACTCAGTGGAACATCCTAAAGATTACAATTATAAGTGGGAGTGGAAATACCGGATACCTGAGCGCTGGGATTTCGATTGATTGTGTGGATCTTTATTAGGGGTTGGTTGGCTATTCGTTGCCATGTGTATTTAGTTGAACATAACTTAGGATAATGATGAAAGTGTAATACCGGTACCGGTAGATATCGTAATTGGACCTCTCCTACCAATGTCTGTTGCATGATAATAGAAAAAGAAGAGAGAAGACCAGCTAACGCGCCGCCCAGCTACTCCCCCCCCCCAACCTCTCCACTCCAAGAATCCTAAAAGAGAACAAATATCATATACCAACGGGAAACAGAAACAAGAATCCCAACTGTCTAAGTGCCCGTTTGTAAATGCCCCTCCATCAAAAGAACCAGTATCTCCAGCGGCTGTGGTGGTTGCACCGAATTTAATTGACTTACATCTTTATGTATACTGTTTAGTGGTCGTAGCTGTAGCTCCATTTTAGTGCACACTTGTGGAAGCAAGTAACGTCCGGGAATCCCCGTTCAGGGGTGAGGCCACTTGATCGGGGGGATAGATAAGCTTTGCACCATAGAGACCGCTATACCAGCATTCCCTAACCCGGAAAAGTTTTAGAAGTTGGGTATGGAGGCTGCGCTAGACTTACACCCTCGAGACCTCAGGCAAAACCCTTCGTTCTGTTTCCCTTAGCTCAAAGAGGCAATAGAGGTGCTGGGTTCTGTTTCCTCATCCTTACCCTTTCTTCCTGACCTTGTTACGCCTCGAGGGCTGGTGACTTTGTGCGAGTGCAAGGCACTTATTGTCTATAGACTAGTGGAAAATTTGTCTGCTCTGGTGAGCATATAAAGCCATCTTTTTTACAACGGACGTTGCCCATGAGTCAACAAATGGGGGGGGGGTGTATATAATAGAGACACCTGGGTTTGGATTTTATTTTTCTCCAGTGAGCTCCTTCAACAACTCACCTCGTACTATTACTTGGTCGCCTAAAATAGGATGGTCCTTCCGCTTTCCGGATTTATGGAGCTCACTTTAGAACTGCCAGAAGTTCTAAACCGTGGCAAACGATCTCTCCATTACATGTGAAAAATAGGGATATTATGCCAAATGTGAGGCGCTAAGACGTTCGAGTGATATTACATGAATATACTAAGTTGCTGCTAGTTTAGAAAGGGCTGTCCAGAAGTCATCTCATGAGCCAGTGCTTAATTCAATGGAATCCCCGAGTCCTTGAAATACCGTGGTTCGGGTGGGGGGGGGAGATTTCTCCCACCTTAATCTTGATCCAGACATCACAAGTTATCACTCTCCACTCACCCTTCACTAAATTCGTGATATCAGACCTTATTCGTACCTTCCTTCCCCTCAAAATGAATAACTGGCTAAAAGGGTCCAAGTCTCCAAGGGCCAAGCAAATTTTAAAACCGGAAGCACCAGCACTTATCAAACAGAAGCACGCCGCCCCGTTTACCTTAACCCGGATCTCCGAGAACCAATCACTTGACAGCATTCTAGTTCCCGAGGATGGAGCCCTCCCGGATCTATCCAATCCCTCGGGGACCCTGACGACGGAATACAAAATTCGGGTCATTCGCCTCATTGACGAGATTGATAGATGGTATGTTCAGAGCAGAGGAGACGAAAGGATCGTGATCGAGAAAATCAAGGCCCGTCTAAAGGGTGATAGCTCGGAAGAACGGCTAGAGTCCCTAACAACACACCCCCTAGTCCCAGTAACTCTCAACAAGATTCGTCAGCGTTTGTTCAAGGACTTTCATGTGGAGAAATGGAAGGAGTTGATGGAAATTCGCTATGGAGAAGGAGCTTCTCACGAGGAGGGTCAGCTATACCTCTCTGTTGCAGACGGTGGCCGAATGCCAGAGCACTTCTTCGGAAGCGAGTTCAAGTTGAAGTTGGACTACATCGAAGATATAGAAAAACTCAGGGAGCAGGTGAAGGCCAAGAACGGCGAGATTAAATCACTTAGGTCTATTATTGAGGGGGTGGAGGGGGCGAGAAAGAAGGCCGAAATGAAAAACGAGATGAAACTTAAGATGTCCTCGGAAGCACTTATCAGGATATCGGAGATCGTCATAAGCAGTGTTTCTGGGATGGAGAATATGAAGTTGCAGGAGTTGGAAAAGCGAAGAGTAGAAGAGGACAATAGGTATCACATCATGGCTGACCATGTCATCACAATGGGGGAAGAGGTCGCTAAGCTTCGTGATATTGTCCGGAGATTGGAGCGAGGGGATTTAGGAGGGATGGCGACTGCCGTGAGTAAGTAGCCTTGGTTAAAGCTTGATCATCCCCCGCCTAATTCTTTACAAGTCCCGCAATAATAAGCCCTTATTCTAACATTCGACACCCAAACCAGACAGCCATGTAACTACGCCAAAGAAGCCGTCAAGGGTTATCCCAAATTCTCCGTATATAGCAGGATCAATTTCTCCTCCTATTCCCTGTAAGACATCCTCTACTATCCCCTGGAAATTTCAGATTTCCATTGGCTCCCAAACCCAAGCTCTAACTCTCAATGTAGTAAATCCAACAAAGAAGGAAATTGCGATGAATCTCCTCGACGAGCGCAACGGGCGCGCCGAAGAAGTAAAGGCTCTTAGAGCCCCTCTCGCACGCTACCAAGGAGGTGGACCGATATATCTGGTCAAGGAAGATTCCGTGTCTGACGAGGATACTTCCTTCCCTACCGAGAGCGCTTTGGGCAACGCTTCCCAACTGTCTATAGCCATGGAATTTGAAGCAGCAATAGAAGAACTCCACGGGGAGGAAGACGGAGACGGAGACTCCAACCTGTTTAAAAAAGAGAGTGCGCCCTCTGTGCATGATGTCCAAACAATTAGAGAGGAGATAAAGGAGACCGTTAATGATACCAAAGGCTCTAAGACTGCAGACTCTGACCTTTCCAAGTTTCAGAAGGCCAAGAGAAGGTTTTTCCAAAGTTTACCTCAAGGTCAGGGATGCGTTGAGGGCTGAGAGGTATGACTACCTCATTTTCTGTTTGTTGTATGGCCGATAGCGCCCCGTTTTTTTATTTTTGTGCTTCTCACGGTTGCCTACTCTGATCCTTAACTTAATGTCCAAGTTATTCATCTCTCTACCTATCAAGCCTTTAAGGTGGGCACGACATTGGCTTCTGAAGTGCTTGTATAGCGATTCCTCCCTGCAATAAGCGAGAAATAATAACCTAATGTCTTGAGCGAGGGTGTGAGTGGACTAAACTAAGTTATCCGATCTGTAAATATTCATGACATGACCACTTAGTCTTGTGCTGGTGTCGCAGTCCCTAATGAACGGTTTGCAAGCGCAAGGATATCTAGACTGTTATCGGCGCAGCGCAACCAAAAACATAAGTTAGTGCCCCAAGAATTGATGTAGTTCATCTGACCTTATGTGGTTCTGGGGGTCCGTCCACGCTTGGATCCCTATATACGCCTCCCAAGACCAACCCGGGCAGAAAAACAAGCCAAAAAAAATTAAAAAAAATTCTTAGATACAGTGCATTGGCCTCCAAGCCGGGCGGTGGTCATGGCAAGTCAATACTCACGTGGATGCTGGGAAAGCTATATTCCTATATTCCAGGTTATAAACCCACATTTGCACAGATATTTACAATTCCGCACCGAATCAGACCCCAATCCCCCCAACCCAATTGGCCCGCAGCAGCAACCGTTGCAGACCAGTCTTCCCCTTTCCATTTTTGTGAAGTTTAAATTAGACTAATAGCCGGGCTACGCCATGCTGGATCGGACCCGGACCAACAGCTGAGAGTGAGAGTATCGCAGATGCTCATCGATCGGATGGCACTTCTTAGCAATTGACGGTTGAATCAGGCTATAGCACAACTCTAGACTCTATTCCGATTCGACCAAAGCAAGAATGGGTTCGAATCCGCCTGCATTCAGTTGCGATGGTTAGTGCGATCTGTCCTGATTACCGGAAGTTTCGAGGGGAGGGAAGGAAGAAAAGGTATATTGAAGCAAATATCTTTTCCGATTCCCGTGATTCCCTAGCGTGGAAGATGAATTGGAAGTCGCATTCTTCTAGGCGCGTGCTCACGTTCCCGCTTCGGACTTCCACCGGATGATTGTAATGATTGATCAATATGCAAAAAAAAAAATAACATTAATACGAGGTCCGCATAGTCGGTCGCCTCGCGTATGTCTGGTTTGGCTAAAACTCAAAGGGTGGCCTCTAACGCTTTGCAAATTCGATTAGTGAAGATTTGAGACTGCGACATTAAACTCGAGCAGCCCCAATCCTAGACACAGCTGTAGCTCCATGTATGATATATCCCAAGAGTGAACTGAGGCCGGGGTTAATGAATGCACACGACACAATTCTGCCTTTTCTATATTCCGGACTTCAAGCGATTGGATAGGTGCTCGAGTGCAGCATTCGAAAATAGATTCGTCCGGGCACTATATGTCATCATACTCGAGTATACACATGCGGGAGTGACGATAGCTGCAGGGTGGTTTTTTCGAACTGATATCGCATGCCCCACAGGAGCTGTTACCCACCGCAGCATCTCGACCCTGAGGGTTACACGAGCAGAGTTCTTCCCATGTCGGATCCCTACACATGCTCGAGTAGAGCAAGCATTCCTCACGTTTCCCCAATATTGTTGCATACTGTTTATCCGTTGCTCGGAGCAGTCACGGTCGACTTCCAAAGAGTTGTGCAAGTGTCCGTCGTGCAAGGAGACGCGTGGATTGTCATCCAATGCTTGTCATTGAGTGGTGCCCCCACCCACCATCGTCACTACCGTCACTACCGCGCGCTGTTTGGTGTTTCCCCATAAAATGCTCAACTGGAAAAAGGTAACCCCCGCCATAATTCTCCTGGGTAACACGTGGCCCAGAAGGCGGGGAAAGAGGGGTGGGAGGCAGATCTGAACCCAAGCACGGTGCGAGTGGTAAAGATGGCAATGCGAATTACCGTGTTCCGAGATGAACATTGTGGAGAAATTGGGGATGGAAGGTTTTCAATGCGCCCGCATCTGCATCAATGGCCGAGCGTAAGCGTGCCGTGGTGACAGCAATAATCGAACGAAAATGCGACATGCCACGGTGCATGTAACTTTGTGTGTACTGTGTCTTTTTATTTTCCTGTGCTGGAGTAGGCGAAAGCAGCAACACATATGGTTGGTCGCCTTAATTGCCAGATATGATACTTGTGCTACGACGATGACACAGGACAAAGCATGTAGGTCCAAACCGACCAGGGGGGAGAGCGGGGGGACGATGCCGAAGCGTTAGTAAGTCGGGATGAGAGTTTATGAAGCTATGGGTTTAGGTTGTCTTGGGGTTCATATAAAAAAGCCTGTCCGGCAGGCACAAGTAAACACCACATATTTTTTGAACGCTCCTGAACGCCTTCACCCATCCTATCATACTCCGTTATATAGCCTAGCCACCCCCCCCCCCCTAAGGTTCCCAGAACCCACACAAGCATGAGTCCATCATCCCTTACTCCCCCCGCCAACTTTGCCATGGTTGGGAACGGTGGATTTGTCTATAGGAGCAGTTTCCCAAAGCCTGAAAACTTCCCCTATCTTCAGGAACTTAAACTGAAGAGCATTATGTATGAAAACGCGGCTCCAAGGCTTGCTCTCTGGTCGCCGGTGCTAACCATTACGCCGCAGTACTCTGGTGTCCGAGACCCACCCTGCCGAAAATAATGAGTTTATGAGGCAGAATGGCATCAAACACTTTCAAATTGGCATGCCCGGTAACAAGGTGCCTTTTGTCAATTGTGAGTATATAGGCGAAGGCTCAAACTCTAGCGGAGCCTACGACTAATATATCCGCCACAGTCTCGGATGAAAAAATCTCCACAGCTCTTCGCATTATCTTGGACCGTCGCAACCATCCCATTCTTATTCACTGTAACAAGGGAAAGGTGTTTAAACTATATATATATTCCCACATTTTGCCTCTCTTCTAATTCATATCCTTTAGCACCGTACCGGATGCGTTGTCGGCTGCCTCCGAAAGGTCCAAGCCTGGTCTTTGACCTTGATCCTTGATGAATACCGCCACTTTGCAGGTCCAAAGAGTCGTGCTCTCGATCAGCTTAGGATCGAATTATATCGTGAAGAGGCCTGCATGGGCTCTGCGAAGCAGTGGGGGTGGGTCCCTCCATCGGTAATGCCACCTGGCTGTTCGATACAGGAGTGTGATGATGAATGCACCGGAACGATAGACGAAACAGTCAACCTACCAGCGGTCAGGGCATGAAGGTTTTACGGTGCAATCCAAATTTGCTACGACTGACCCGATTCGTTTCTTGTGGAAATAAACGTTTGTTTCTTTATGTCTCCTTCCGCTTGCGGAACTTTAAAAAGCTTTGCATTGTTCAGAAAATGTCTGCTTTATTATTATTATTATTATTTTTGTTTGACCTAGACATAACTTCTTATTAATTACGTCTTGCTCGGTCCTACTACACATTATCTAAAACGAACACGCGTGGTTTCTCCTAGGTTCATTTCTTCCTCTTTCCTCTTTCCTTTTTTTTTTTTTTTTTACTCTCCCCACGTCCTTTACTTTATTTATTTTTCTTCTTTTCCCTTTCTGTTTCAACTGGATATGGAGGTGTTTTCTTAAAGGGTTGGCGTTGCCCAATTTTTACCACCAGAACTCAAGACACTTCTGGCGGTACGGTTCTATTTAACTTCAGATCAGCGGCGGGTAACTTGGTGTTTTGGGAATGTGTGCTGTATATAATATAAAGTTTCAAGCACCCGTCTTTGCAGTATGCTGGATTGTCATGAAAAATTTTCCCCTCGTGATTTTGGTCATGTTTACCTTGATTACCGCGCTCGAGTAGACTAGGTATTCCTAGAGACTTCAACGCTTCACCCACTTGCGCACGAAACGACCTGTCATGCCGACCCTTGACCGTCAACGTGGTGTCTCTGCACGCGTAAAGGTGCAGAGCTGGCTCTAAATCTGGTACCTTATTTACCCTGTAACCGCAAATATTCCTTCCCGGATGACCTCATCGGCTGCCTTCCGCTAGACTAGGGGCCGATGCTCCTAGTCTACCCTCTTTCCCGGGTGCATCAATTAACTCGGGAAATAAAAATTCATACCCTTTCACTACAGTCGCTTCATCAAATGTCCGGAGCAATAGCCCATCAAGCAAAGACCTTCCTCGATACGAGTGGCCGCCGGTACGCTGGTATGATATATACTGCTGCTTCCCCTCATTCCTTTGACCTTCGACCCCTCACTAACAAACCCCTAGAGTCGCCACTGCCAGCATGGGCCTCCTCAATCGCAAGTTCAGTCCCTGCCCTCCCCTCACACCCCAAAATTTCCACCCCTATCAACTATGCATCACTAACCCATCAGCCACTCACTAGTCCTCTACCAACTCCCAGATTCCAAACGCCTCTACAACAGCCGACTCCTCCCCCGACCGTGGACTGTCCTGCTATTCTCGTCGCTATTCGCAGCCAGTGGCTGGATGGCGTACGATAACGCGCCGATCGATGGCGCTGGCACCACCGCGGCCTGGTCGGCTATATATTGCATCATGAACGGGAGCCCCCGAAAGCTTGGGAAGCTACTGCGATTCGGACGGGTCGCGCCGCTCGGGACCGCGGGGTTTGTGGCGGCTAACACTATCACGCATGGGTATTACTATTTGACGGTACCGAGAAGTAAGGAAGAGGTTGAGGAGTTGAACAGGTTGACGGGAGAATGATTATGGGAGGGGAAGAGAGTTCTTATTGAATTGTCCATGGGTACAGAATTGCAATGGCGGGTTGGTACTCGTAGGAAGAGTGCACCTTCTCAACAATAAGTTTAAGGGGATCGGAAGATTAGCACAGGATTCGGGGGGCTGTACTGTACAAGTACAGTAGTAGCACATGGGCGCTAGTGATTCTCGGCGATATGAGCCGCAGGGGTTGCATAAAACTATCTGGGGTCAGAACAAACCTGAGATGGCCAGGCCTTTGTTCGACACTCCGGTTCATCGGGGCGTATTATATTCCTTGATCGAAGGGAAATACAGACCACTCTTTTTATTGTTCAGACGAGACAGGTGATTGTGTAGTATGAACTCCCAACGTGTTTCTGGGCTCTCCATTGGGCTGAGAATTTAACTATCCATTCATTAAAGCGTGGGAGTAATTTTACCACCACAGCATTAGCGTTCCTGTCTACGAAATTGTGCCAGTTAGGCCTGGCCTTTGAAGAGAATCGAAGGGGGGGGGACTTCTTTAATATCCTAATCATGAATGGAAAACAATAAGGATTGGAGCTGATTCCAACATCCATCATTGCCATCATCACCATACCATACCAGAGCGCCTCTTTTGAAAGGAACAGAAAGAAAAAAGCCATTCAGTTAATCTCACCGAGGCGACTCCAACAAACCCACAAGTACCCACACTGCCGCACCGCACAATACACCCCCCCCCCCCGAAGCAAATCATGCAAAGCAAAAAAAAAATCCCTCTCCGACCTAATCTTATAATTGGTTAGATACCCATGTAGGAACCCACATACGATCAGTGATAAGTATGAACTTCTGCACCAGCATAACAGCGGAATGTGAGGCTGAGATTGGGCACAACACATACGGCATACCGGTATGATAGATCCCAGTATCATGGGCGGGAGAATGAGAACAGAAATTAAGAAAAAATAAAATTCATCCCAACCATAACTTAAGTTGCTCAAGTTCGCATACCGTAAAATTGGACCGCGTTGCTATGTCGTTCAAGTTGCCCCCTCTGGTAAGGTCTTGTTTTTTTCTTATCATACTCGTGCCAAGGTTGTGGCTTCCCAGCCACAAACCTCGGGCTGCAGAAGAGTGCCCGCAAGCTCAACGAAAATTTCTACTATAGCTCAACAATAAATCATTATTGTTTAGGGCCTGTTTGGGATGTCAGAAAAACTTAGTATTTCTCACTTATCATCATTTTTTTTCTTCTGTATTAAACTAAAATTTTCAAAGAGTGTTTGAGAGATACAAAAATACCATGGTATTTTAAAACTTTGTTTTGTTATTCTCAGTATTTTTTTAGCCTGTAATTTATCAAAGACAATTAGGATAGGAATAATTCTTTCTTGTTTAGTATCAAATTATATACTTGTTTAAAAATTAAGTTATACTATTTCATTAGTTGAATTATATAGTATTTTGTTTCCAATAATATATAATTCATCCTTGTATATATTCAATTAATAGTAAAGTAATAGATATTTATAATAAAAAAAGTTCTTTTGATAAGTTTTCCCTGAATATTCAAATTTTCAATAATCGGACTGTAACAATTCCCCTTTGGATAATTAGTTCTTGGTGACGGGGAACGATACTTCTCTTCTTCTTCTTCTTAGTCTTATGATAGCTCTAGGCCAATGCCTATGTCACCAATAGTACAAGACCTCTGTCTCCTATCAAAAATGCCTATCGTAAGATTTCTCTTACTCTCCTGTGCGAAGAGTGTTCTTGACGTAACAATAATAAAGATTGTGATAATGGTAAAGAGCATAAATGTAATGTGTTCGCAAGGTGCTATTCACGTTATTGGTTAAAGGTATGATAGTTGGCAGGTGGTCAACACTTGCCATGTGCTGGGCTGGGCCCGGCCCACAAAAGCCTGGCCCAGCCCACTAACTAGTTGGCCTGGCCCATGACAGCCCAGGCTGGTCCACGAGGCCCATGGGCCATAGTAAAATTATTTATAATCACTAAAATGTTTCTTTTGATCCAAACCCTCAGACAAAAGCTAAACATTATAAGATTTTATAAGACTGATACTATTGAATTTTATAACTAATTTAATTTCTGTAACAACATTTCTCCTATGTACTAGTATAAGAGTAGATAGTAATTACAGATTTTATCACAGAATACTAAGGATTTAGTCTCCACCTTTAGTCTCTTTAGCAACCAGAGCATCAAGCAAATTTTCAATCATTTGCAGTTCAGGATAGGTAACTGGAAGGAAATTGTCCTTAATCCAGGACTTAGTACATTCAAGCTTAGCTAGTGCCTCATCTCCCATGCTACAGTGCATATCAGTTAGTATAATTCTTGCTCCACTAAAGATTCTCTCCGGCTCTGTAGACATGGCTGGAATACTAAGGATTTCAAGAGCCATTTGGGCAAGATCTCTCATTCTTCGAATATCTAACATCTTGGACCAATACTCTATAAGGTTTATATCAATATCTTGAGAAATTGGTTCCTGTAAATATTGAGCTAACTTGTCAATTCCTTCAGATTCCATTAGTACCTGGCGCTTACGCTGAAAACTTGTTTGAAATTTATGCCTTTGTTGTATGTTGGAGCTAGGACTACCTAGTTAATCTACTTGAGATCTGGTATCCTGTTGAGTTAATACTGTAGTAGCTGGATACTTGCCCTTATATGATTCTACCCAAATATTATTCAAAGTGTTTCTAGCCAGTTGAATAGCATCAGGACGTTCATCCCATTACACCTCAAAGTACTCCAGCTTCATTTCAGGATTCAAGACAACTGCAATAATATAAGCTGGACATACCTCAGTTTTTTTATAATAAGTATTGAGAATTCTGAGAGCATTAGATATCATGGACGAGATATGACGAGAATGGTACCTTGGTGTGTTTTTAGCATTTTCCAAGATTTCAATTAGCTCATCCATCATGGGTAAGATGTTAGCAATACATCCATTGGAATATTTAACCTGCAGTCTTGTATTCCACTCTGCAAAAGGCTCCAGAATTTCCATAATGTGACCTAGAGTATTCCAATCTTGTTCAGAGAGGTCATCATTGATTAAAGCTCTATCATTAGCTGCTCTTTCTCCATTACGGTTTATCCCAATAGCTGTAGCAATAAAGCTACTAATTGCGGTCTTGATACGTAAGGCACGTTTTAAAGACTCATAATCACTAGACCATCGTATTAGGTTCCCTAGGATTGGCATAGCAATACTCTCACCTGGATATGTTTTTTGCAGTACAGTGGTAAATTGGTCTAAGTGTTGTGGTGTTCGATGAATATAGGTAATAATATTGTGCAACTTACCGACGGGCCCTTTTTTCCGCCATCCCTGTAGCTGTCTGAGCTCTTCTTCAGGTGAATGATAAGTGTCATTTTCCTTACTCACAAATGATGTTCTATCTTCATCCCAGAGAAAGCCTTTGACAACAAGGTTGATTATATGCCCAAAGAAGCGAAGATGGTCCTGAACTGGATGGAGTGGAGGAATATTATGCGAACGCATAATATTTGCAATTTCCTGCAATGCTGTATCATTGTTTGTAGCATTATCAATATTGAACTTACCAATCTTACCTTCAATCCCATATTTTTGAACAGTTATCTAAAAGTAGGCTGCTTGGTTCTTCCCAGTATGCATATCAATAAAGCGATGCAAATCTCAATGGACTGCATGTAGCTTGAAACTTGGTTCAATCCAGTGCGCTACAATTGCTATATAGGCATGCATGTTTGGACCACTCCAGAGGTCAAAGCTGAAATGAATTCGGCAGACAGCACTCTGTAGTGATTTCTTTACAGCATTGAACATCACATCATGAAATTCATCTAACCAGCAACGTAAAGTATGGCCTGATTGGGGAATTACCTTTGTTATTGCCTTAAGATTAGGCTGACAAGCACCGAGATAGGCTAAAAGTCTACGAAATGCTGGATGATTGCATACTGAGAAAGAAATACTAGCTGTTGTAATCTACTGAATTAGCATACTATGAAATATATCAGCATTAAACTCCATTTTAGGGGCTATATTTTCAAAGGCAGATTCAATTGAGAGTTGGGCAGGTATTGGCCCTGCAACTACTTGACCATCTGGTCCTATTTGATGGTACCGGTGAAGATACTGGATGGCATTTCTTGTAGAGTAAGCAGTAAATATCGTGGAAGCTATGCAGTCAGTACATTGATTACACTGCCATCTTGCCGTCCCATCCAATATAATTGTTTCGCCATTAGCTTTATTATAAATATGACTTTTATGAACTTTTGGCTTCTTCTGTAGAAACTCATGCCCACTTGCCCTACTCGCAATAGCACTAGAGCTATAAGAGCTATGCATACCTGGATCAACTTGTAAGTTGTTGACCAATTGGCTATCTGTAATGTATATTTTAAATTATTACTAAAATACATATACAATTTAGAAATTAACTTAGAGAGAATCTACATTCAAGAGACATGCCAGCATTTGCAGCTGTATTACCATAGGTGATCTCCTCATGCACTTCAGAAACCAGTATTCTGGGATCCAAAGGTAAGACTTGAGATGAAGTTGTACCGATACTTTAAGAGCTTCTTGCTGGTGGAGAGGACGGGAGAATTTGTGAAGAATAGAAGTTACCTGGCTTGACTGGAGCAGGATTCAGAAAATTGTTCAAAGCTGGGATTAATGAATGCAAAAAATAGTAGGTTCTCAATTCAAGTGGACAACTAGTCATCTAGCTAATAAAATCAAATTCTATTTTTCCTAATATAGCTATGATACACTCTTGTAGTACTTTGACATAAACCCTTACTCTTAAGCTACTGCTAATGTTTACCGTTGTGGTAATAATGTTGTTTTCACTTTAGGATACAAATTCACTTACTAATAAAAGCCTACAGGCCTCGTGGGCCACTACCAAGCCCATGGGCTTTTGTGGGTCTTGGCCTAGCCTGATCCAGCCTATGGGCCAATAAAAGTCTACGGGCCAGCCTGGCCCATGGTAAGCGTTACAGGTAGCCTGCTCTACCAGAGAGGAGGCGAGAGCTGAGAACTAAAGGACATTTTGAAGGTTTACTGAGGAACAAAGAAGTAACCGTCCAACCAAGTATATTGAAATACTGTCTGTCGAAGTGTGCCTTTTCCATCGTGGAATCAGGCGGTCTTTAAATACACAAATCTGTTCATGTCTAGTATGAACAAAACTAATCAAAGTGTCACGAATGTGGCTTGGCAAGAAAAAGGTTTTTGCATGACTCATGATTATGAGTCATCGGTATGTTATTGTTTTGCAGATATGACTCAGTCGAGTCATATGATTTGTTATGTGTG